TTCTGTAAATCCTCAGGCTTGCTCTAGCACCTTCTTAATGTGTTTATTTTCATTTAAAATAGAGTTGATAAGTATACCTAATTATTTAAGTTTATCAACTAAACTTGTTACTTCTCCATTACCTAAAATATCTGAGCAATGCTCTTCATTTTTCTTCTTAATTGAAAAAAACATTCCCCCAGTTTTATCTACATTGAGGGTAAGACATGAACAGTATAACCAGTCTGAAACTTTCCCCAAGTGCAGCAGTAAGTTTGTTGGCAGCTTGCTCTTTGGTTTTTGCGTGAGTATATACTACCGTGTCCTCAGCATACATTTGAACCTGAACTTCTGGACACACTGTAGGCAGATCATTAAAGGGTCACGAAACACCAGAACACATGTGTTGAGCTGTTGACAGTGGTATATGTGTCCCACACTGCTAAAAACACTATTAGGACACCTATATTTCACTAAAAAGTGTAAATTGGTTGTTTTTGCGTTATTTCAAGCAAATTCGTACTTCCGGTTTGAAACTAATTTTTGAAGCTGCGTCACGGTCATGACATAATAGCGTGTATTCCAGCATGCAGACTGGACGCCTGTGCCAGAGTGAGTCTTATTACGTCTTACAGTGTGCTGCATTAATGCATGAGTAAAGCTTGGTTCAAACCAATCAGCGCGCTCTATTGTGCAACTTCATTAATATTCATTACTGTCACAGTGTTTAGACGACAGAGACGCCACGTTGTGTTGGCAAAACAAGCGTGAAGTGTTGCTTTTATAGTTTGCTGCAGTGAAGTTTTGTTTTCATTTTCTCTCTGTGAGAGCTCAGCTGGAGTCACGTGTGGATTAACAGTGTACGCGACGCTCGACAACAATAACTTACGTGTCTAAGGAGGATTATTGTTTACCTGAGAGCTGTTCTCATCTGCAAACGCTGAGATCCGGATCCGGCTCTAGTTGCTGGTGATTGTCCTGTCTCTACAGATTTGGTAAGTGAGCGACCAGTGCTCTTTGTTTATTCAGTTTGTTCGTATCTAACAAACTATTGCACCGAGTGTAAACATGTTAGCACCACAACCAAACTTTAACCTCGTGTAGGATTTTACCGCATTTAGTGACCGGAATAACACACACGGCTTTCTGACGCTACCTGCCGTGTGCATCTAAGTTTCCGGGAAATGCTGAGGGTTTTTTCTCTCATTGGCCGTGTGGTATCAAACATTGCATGAAAACAACACGCCTAGAGCAGATCCTCGAATCAAATATCTCGTTTGTCGCGAGGGACATGAATGAATTCCCTGAATGAAAGAGCCAAACTGCAGTTAAAGTCCAACATTTAATAATTTGGCAAATAATTCGACTACAGATGTCCATGTAGGTTAAACACCATCACTTTCTCCTGTCTGTGTATTTTCACTCTGACACTCGCGCGCGCCCAAATAGACACTCCCACACCATCCCACTTTTCTTCCTTCGACACTCCCCCCTAAACAGAGCTGGACACGCCCACTTTTTTGACTTTTTCCAAAGTAGAGGTGTGAAAACACCCTGCTGAAACGAGGGGGTTTCATGGCCCTTTAAGGCCGCATTTCCACTATCGGGCCAGTGCGAGCCAGGGCTTATATCGGGCCAGGCCGGGCCAATCGCCCAGGAGGTTGAGCAGTGAGGCTGAAACCATGTCGCGTGATAGTAGCTCGCAGCGCGTCACGCAAACCCCACCCCCAGAACATCCCCTGAATCGAACGTCACTCAATCCGCCCACTTCAGCGGGAATCAGGCAGATAAAGCACACCATCACATCATCACGAAACTATTAAAATGAAGACAACAAAACAAACAAATGACATGTTACTGTACAGCAGCACAATGTATGTCTATACGCACAGGCCTGTGTGTTCTCATTCATCATATTCATTTACTCGCCGACCGACTGTTGCCATCGAAATCCAGTGGTCTTGCCACTAACGGAGGGACCCAGCGTAGGGAGCGCACACATCCATAATATAACACCACATGTATAAAATTCTCCGTTAATAACTCGATATAATCTTATAACATCCTCAGTTAGACAGACGCTGTCCAACATTTATCCCAAATGCTCCGGAGAGAACTGAAACATGAACTTTTCCCTATGGGCTTCATCACACTAAGTTAGGTGATTCCCTTTATTTAAAGATGTTGCTTATTATATCTTAAGTAAAGGAAAGTGTTCAGTGTTTCAGCACATAAGAGCAGCACGTAGTAAAATATAGCCTATATTTCGTTGCGCTCAGCAGCAATGCACTAATAAAGCTCTTTATGTATTTAAAATGTCCTTTTTTAATTTTACCACGTCATATAAAAACACACACACTAGTTTGAGGACACAGAACACATTTTGAACTTGCAGTTTTCCCCGATGCGTCTGTACAGTGCTGCGCAGTTGCAGACAGAACAAAAGGCGCCTATTTCTGCTTTCACTCACCCCAAACATGCTCTGCTTGCATGATTGATTAATTTCATCGTATCCAAATACTTTATAAATAATATTTAAAACATTCTCCAGTGTTTACTGTTTTTAGAAAATATCTAAAATCTTTTTTTAGAGAGGCTTTTGAAAAATTAAGTTTAATAAGGCTTTAAAACAGTTTGATATAGTACCTAATTGTTCTAGCTAGGTTTTGTTAGTTTTTTATTGGTTTATTTATTTAATGTGATTTTATTATATCTGATATTTGTAAGTCTTTAAATGATTTCAACATAGCGTAGGCTATTTTATCAAAATATGACACTATTGTTTTGAGTCTACAAAATGGACAAGAAATTTGTCAAGTTTAAGGTCTTTCTGTTGTATTCATATAGTTTATTATCTCCAAAAGAAATAAAAACAATAAAAAATAAAAGAAAAAAGCCGCTCGCGGCATCAACAGAGCTGTGAAGGGAGCGCTCTTTTCCTCAGTGTCACACACACACACACACACACACACACACACACACACACACACACACACACACACACACACACAGGCATGTGTAACAGAAATGAGCTCATTTTATGAATATTAATAATCAACAATAACGGTTTATTCTTGCTTATGCTTCAGTCAGTTTGGTCAAACAAACATATGATTGTATATAATCATGCTCGCGCGACCGAGCGGACTCCCAGATTATGAATTTTAATTATCAACAATAACGAATTATTATTAATCATTAATATTCCGGATCAATTTATTGTTAATTTGACCAAACAAACACAAGCAGAGCCGCCGCTCTTCCGAGCGGACACGGTAATAATCTATTTATTTAGAAAAAGGGAATTTAATTGCTACTTCTTGCGAAGTAGATTAATCATTCAAAAGTTTTAAACAACTTATAACAGCAAGGCAGGGGAATCTGTATTTCAGTGACATTTTCTCGTGAGGCAAACAATACGATTCATTTGACTATAATGGGATTTATTGACTAGTCAGACGAATAACAAACAAACACACAAACGTACATTAAACACAGAACAAAGGTAAACCACGTGGAGATATCGGGTCTATAGAACGTGTAACAACAAAGAGGAATAGTAAAGCGAGGAAATAGAGATTTCAGATAAAAGAGTGACAAAACTTTCAGTTCCACACGCACCATTAAGGATCACCAAAATTAAAAAAACACCTTTTTGATAAAAGGGGCACAGCTTAATCGCATAACTAAAAGTACCTGGACTGAATGTCTGGGATCTCTCTCTTTATGCTTCCGTCCTGATGAAACTCCTTTGATGTCCTTCTTGATGCGTTGAGTTTGTAATACAGTTCTGAGGAACGCGATCGCAAACTTTAAACTGAGTTTACTTTGCCGGAAAATAAAGAAAAGCGTGGCGGGAAAAGGTCCATGCGGCTTAGAAGAGCCGCATGGCCCGAAGGCCACCTTTTTGTGAGTTCTTTGTTCGGACGATCTCTGAGGATGTTTGGGGAGAAGTCTGGTTATACCTGCGGGTCACGTGACAACCCGTTCAGCATTCTGACCAATGATTTCAGGGGAAATTGAGCGCGCAAACCTTCCTTTGTCTCGAGGCTGCTCGTATGCAAATTTGAGTGTCCGCCTAAAGCATGCGGACAGGCATTTAATACAGGGCTTTAAAGAATAAAGCAATGCGAGTTATGGTCTTGCTCTATGCATCATGTGTTGTAAAATGTCAGCAGAAACCCATCGGTACCAAACATGGGGGGTTTAAAAGTACATCAACATAATTTTTCATATCCTTACAATATTTACGCTTTACAAAGGCCTAAAGGGAACATGCATATAGGTTATAAGAGAGGTTACACAGGTAAGAAAAGTCAGAAATGAGATACAAAGTTTACAAAACATAACACTTTAGTCTTGTGCTGGTTCAGGATTTTTTTGAGTTCGTTTTCTTTCTGTCAGGACAGCCTCGTGGGTGTGTGTGTGTGTGTGTGTGTGTGTGTGTGTGTGTGTGTATTTGGGCAGGAATGTCTTTGAAGTTCCCGGCTTAGTAATCCAGGGACACTGGAAAGATAAGTCTGTCCGGTGTATCCAGACTTGTGGAGCCAGGAGTCGTAAAACCCTCCTGTCGACTAAAACCAGACCGTGATAAAATCAATAAGTAATTTTATGTGGACTGTACGCTACACATGTAAACGCACACAAACACACCTTTTAAACTTGACAAAAACTCTGGAAAACCTTTACTGTCTGCTGTTTGTTTAATATGGTGTAAAGATTATTATGCAGTACTGAAACATCAAGGAGGACGCAGCAAAGAAAGTCACTTATAAATTAAAACTACTTTATTATTTTATGCAACAGCCTTACATTTAAAAGAGAAACATTAGGGCAATCATATGCAAAAAGACCCCAGCCTATATATTGTTCCAGATGTTTTCTTTCCCTTACTTATTTATTTGTTTGGCGCATGTACTCATGTGCGATCGGAAAACTGCCCCCGTCTGACCTATTACTCCCCGAAAAAGGCCGGCCGGTGGCCCCAAGAAAGCCCCGATTTGGCCTGATTAGGCCCGGAAGTGACAGTGGAAACCCCACTGGCCTTGGCTCGCTCGCTTTAGGCGCGATAGTGGAAACGCGGCTACTGAGTACATGTGAAAGGTTTCTCTACAGTGTGAATCCTCTCGTGTGTTTTCAGGTTTCCTAACTGACTGAATCTCTTATCACAGTGTGAACACTTGTACAGTTTCTCTTAAGTGTGGATCTTCTCATGCATTTTCAGATTTGCTAATCGACTGAATCTCTTATCACAGTTTGAACACTTGAACGGTTTCTCACCAGTGTGGATCCTCTGGTGCTGTTTCAGATGTTCTACCTGACTGAATCTGTTATCACAGAGTGAACACTTGTACGGTTTCTCTCCAGTGTGAATCCTCTCATGTATTTTCAGGTTTCCTACCTGACTGAATCTCTTATCACAGTGTGAACACTTGTACGGTTTCTTTCCAGTGTGAATCCTCTCATGTGTTTTCAGATTTGTTAATCGACTGAATCTCTTATCACAGTGTGAACACTTGTACGGTTTCTCTCCAGTGTGAATCCTCTCATGTGTTTTCAGATTTGTTAATCGACTGAATCTCTTATCACAATGTAAACACTTGTACGGTTTCTCTCCAGTGTGAAGTCTCTCATGTGTTTTCAGGCTTCCTAACTGACTGAATCTCTTATAACAATGTGAACACTTGTACGGTTTATCTCCAGTGTGAATCCTCTCATGTTTTTTCAGGCTTCCTAACTGACCGAATCTCTTATCGCAGTGTGAACACTTGTACGGTTTCTCTCCAGTGTGAATCCTCTGGTGCTGTTGCAGTTCTGCAGCTGTACTAAAAGTCTTCACACACTCAAAGCACATATACTCTTTAACACCAGTGTGGATCTTCTGATGTCGTCTTAAATGTGACAGCTGTGTAAAACTCTCTCCACACTCAGAGCATGAATGAGGCTTCTCCTTTGTATGAGTTCTGAGATGGAGTTTCAGTCCTGACGCCCTCAAAAATGTTTTCTCACATTGATCACATCTGTGGATTTTCTCTCCTTTGTGAATCTTCATGTGTTCATTAAAGGATGATGACCGGCTGAAACTCTTCCCACACTGAGTGCATGTGAATGGTTTCTCTCCAGTGTGGATCCTCATGTGTTCATTAAGGTAGTATGAGTGTCTGAAACTCTTCCCACACTGAGTGCATGTGAATGGTTTCTCTCCAGTGTGAATCCTCATGTGTTGATCAAGATTAAACTTGCTTGTCCGACTCTTTCCACACTCACTGCAGGTCAAACATTTCTTGTTTCTTTGCATTAAAGCATCTTCAGTCTGTAAATGAGGTGTTTTCTCAGCTTTTAGGAGTTCATCATCTTCACTCTCCTCACTCTCTTCACTAAGATCTAAAATCAAAGTAAAAAGGTTCAGTTTTTTTGTGCAACCCCAAATCAGAAAACATTGGAACAGTACAGAAAACACAAATAATTTCTTTGTATTTCATTGCAGACAATAGAAACACAAATATTTCATGTTATGTACATGAGATTGACATTTGGATATCTCACCTTCAACTGTGCATAACATCACTGAAATTCCTCCAGATTCCTTGAACCTTTTAGTGCGTAAAGGACAAGAGCACAAGCCTAAGCTGAACAATTGTGATCTCGGATCCCTCAGGCGGTGCTGCATCAAGAATCCTCATTTCTCTATCAGCGATATCATCACGTGGTCTTAAGACTACTTTGGCAAAATCTTTGTCAAGTACTACAATCCATAGTAACAAAAACAAACGCCAGTTAAAACTGTACAGTGCCAAAGGGAAGCCCTGTGTTCAAGGTGCAGAAGGTGATCGTCTGCAGAAACATGCGTTGTTGTGCTGGCTGAAAGTCTCTTCACATTCCGATAGTACTAAAGTAGTACTAAAGTAAGATGGTACTAAGTACTATTCTGATAGTAGTTAAAGTAAATGATCTGAATGTGTTCATATGTATTCTCATATTCTGGATAAGCAATAAAACTAAAAAAATGTTCATCCAGTGTGTCAGCTCGCAAATAACTCAATTACGAGAACTCACATTGTCTGTCAACACATTTGAATGTGTATTTCTGCGCAGCCTTTTTAAGCAGACAGATACGTCACTCACGTGCACACGTGAAGCACGCATTCACCGCCAGTGGTGTTGTAAAGTCACTAATTACAAAACCTCAAGTTACTGTAATCTAGTTTTTCTCAAAAATTGTAATTTGCTAAGTAGTTTTATAAATGTAAACGTTTACTCTTCCTACATGTTTAGTGCAGTATCTGTACTTTTACTCCACTACTGTCCTTCAACCTGCAGTCATTACTTTATTATGTCTTGTCTATGGGGATTAGAAAAATCAGTTCTGTGATTCCTGTCCAATCAAATCACACATTAAAGGTAAACTGCATCATAATGAACTACCTCAAGACATGGGCACTTTACATTGCAGCAAACTGTTTGGAAGCATTAAAAGTGTTCAAGGAGATGTTCAAAATCTTTACACGCATTGACCCAGAGACTGTTTAGATCAGGGATGCCCAAACACAGTCCTGGAGGGCCGGTGTCCTGCAGATTTTAGCTCCAACTTGCCTCAACTTACCTGCAAGGATGTTTCTAGAAAGCCTAGTGTGAGATTGGTAAGCTAGCCCAGGTGCGTCTAATTGGGATTGAAACTAAACTTTGCAGGACACTGACCCACCAGGACTGAGTATGGGCACCCCTGGTTTAAATGCTTGTCACTGTTGAGAAGATGATGGATATTTACTGTATGATGACCAAAATGGCCTTAAACACCCAGCAGGCACAAGATGTCAACATGCCGTCAGATTGAAATTGTACCCTAACGTTGTGGAGATGCTGCATTTATTTGGAAATTAAAACTGGGTTTACATCAGAACTCAACGTCAGCCCGATGTCAATGTACAACGTCCAACCTAAAACCAACCAAATATCAACATCTAATGATGTCACAGCTTGATGTTGTGTTGACGTTTCCACTATGACGTCTATCAGATGTGGATTTTTGGTTGTCATAACTGCTGAATAAATGTCAGTATTTGACTTCAATAGGATGTTGGTTTAAGATGTTGGCTGGACATTGGATTTTGGTCACTTTCTAACAACCTAAAATCAACCAAATATCAACGTCATTTTATGTCATTATTGGACATCAAAATAACAACCCGGACTCATTGTGGAAACGTAACCCCGCAGACGTTTCTGCGGACCACGAGATACATCCCGGGAGGTACGTATTCGAGTGTTTTTTGTTTTCGTGGAGACGGAGAGAACGCTGTGCACGCTTTTTCGCTTCTCAGGCGCCTCTCGGGAGCGCGCGCCGTTCGCGCGTGAAAAGCCGCCAACCCAACCCGACCCGGCCGCCCTCCTCTTCCTCCTCCTCCTTCCCTAAAGCCGAGCGACGGTTTGCAAAAGCCGTCCAGAAAAAAAAAAAAAAAGCCCTCGTCTTCGATTTTGACCGCGTTTACGTATCCCGCCGCATTCTCGCCCTTATTTTTCGGATTTTGTTTTTCATCTTACCTGATTTCTGGAACCGCTGTTCCCCAGAATCGATCCCGGTTGTCATCCTCGCAGTCGGCTCCTGCTTCTCTGGGGCCTCCGCTCTGCCGACGCAACGCTGTGAACACCACACCGCCCCGCAGCGTTTGCTCGAAAAAAAATAAACGCGTCCGTACGTACCTCTGGCCACGTAAATCGCGGTCTCCAGAAACGTCCGCGGGGCTACGTTTCCAGAATGAGCTTGGGTTGCAAAATAATGTTGTCCTTAGACGCTGGCTAGACATTGAACTTTGGTTACCTGACATCACAACCTAAATCTAAACTAATATCAACATCTTAAGACATTGTGTGTCTGCTGGGCAATAACTAAATGCACTACAGAATGTTACGTTTAAACACACATCCACAAATTACATGTAAATGCATCAACTTTTAACAGCATAATACTCACTACTAAGGAATTAATGCTCAATTTCAATTGTCGAATCAAAAAATAGAATCGTCGATGCTGCCACGCCCCCATGTCACGTCAGCTTGGCTTGCAAAGCGGGCAAAAAACACGCTTGTTGAAGTGCTTGTTAAACTGCAGAGGCAGGAGACCCGTCGACAGAGCTTAAACCCTCTCCTCTTTCAATGAAGTCACCGGTGTGAAAGTATTTTGGATTTCATGTGAGTTATGTTGACAACATTCGTGTTGTCGACAAAAAAAAAAAAACACAGTTTGCAAGCTCTGCTATGTATGTAATGTTATTAGGGTTGGGCCGATAGACGATGGGCGCATCGCGATCGATGAGTCATTTTAGCGAACACCTCAGATACTGTTGGCTGGTTCCAGTTGGTTGTGCGTCTTTTTTACCGACGCCATTATAACGACACAGATCACTGCCTATTCACGAGTCCCGCAGAAAAAAGTGATTGACAGGTGGTAATTATGTGTGTATCTTGCCTTTATTCATTTACTGTATGATTTGGAGAGAAAACAAAGACCATGCAGGTCAGGCAGTTTAAACGGTAGACTACAAATAATTAATTCATTATTAATTTATTAATTATTCATAATTGAAAAAATGGAATCGAACCGTGACTTTAGAATCGAAAATGTAATCGAATCGAGGATTTGGAGGATCGTGACACCCTTACCCACTACTCAGGAGTAATTTTAAAAGGGCTACTTTTTACATCTACTTTCAGTACTTTAACCCTACTCGCACTACATTTTTAGGCAAGTAATGCTACTTTTACTTAAGTATGCTTTTTCAGTACTCTTTCCACCACTGGTAAACAGAGGACAGGATATTTCTGTGTTCAGCTCTCCTTTATTCTGATCTGACATTTATTTAGTTTAATAACAGGACTTCAGTAAATGTGCTCTTCCACCTGACCAGCTTTACTGAGCTGAAGTTTGATTTATATCCGCACATTTGTTCATTGTTGAACAGTGGCAGCCTGTGATACACAGTTTTGGGGAAATATAATCCTGCACCCGCTGGCCTGTCAACAACTACGCTTGATTTCAAATTTTTCTAATTTACTTCGGCCTTATGATCATAAATGTTTAATAAAGATGAAAATAAAAGACAGCTGAGTGTCCATCTCTGTTTCCCCCTGAGAATAGAAAGTGAATTTACACTTCTCCTTTTATTGAAACTCTTGAACTCTTTTGCCTATAGTGCAGACGATACATCAGATGAAGTGTTCAAAGCTTTTTCTGAATCAGGAATAAACACAAACCTGTTTGTTCTTCAGTGTCTTCATCTGTAATTCTGCAGGGTTCTGGATCACTCATCTTCCCACTGTCCTTCAATAAACTCAGATTTGACTTCTGTCTGAAGGTCTGATGCTCGTCCTCACTTGTAGACTGATGGGAATATTCCAGTATTTATAGCTGAAATGAAGGAGGAGGAGCTTCACTAACAGAGAAACAGATCTGCCAAGACTAATGTAGTGTAGCGTGTGCAAAACAAAGCCAGCGGCCTATTGATGTCTAATAAACCAATAGAAAACACAAGAGATGAGCACATTCCACATCTACATTATAGAGATGAGCATGAGCACTTAAAGCGCTTTTGCAGACTAATGAATGTGTCCAGGATCCAAACATCAGTCTACATTTATACAGAAACCACAGCTTTCATGTGCTGCACATAATCACACTCCATGAGTTTAGCTAGCAGTTAGCACCTGTGTGAGCTTGTGTTGGGGTAAAGTTGCTTTTATATTGGCACTTTCAGACGCTCTTCTTAATAATATCATTTCAGAAAAGTTTTATTTGCACATTCTGATTAGCCAAATCATGCTAGCAGCCAACAACTGACAAAGTACAGCTGCACAATCCAACAGAAATAAAGCTAATCAAATGAACAAGAGTCGACTCTCTACTGAACAAACATTATTGAGTTTATTTGACATTTTCTGCATTTATGAGGGGAAAGCTTGGTTATGGATGTGGGGAAATTTCCACTTGTGTGACTTTGATAAATCAGATATAATAGTTTGAAAATATTGACAGAGACATGTTTGAGTATGTTTACAGTACTGTACAACACAAGTCTACACAAAAACACTCACTATTTGGGTAAAAACTAATTTTTTTCATGGCAAGGTTGATATTTACATGTGATTTCAGAACAAATATCCAAAGTACCACAGTAAACAATATAGGGAGCATGTCAGAAGTTTTCACTGAAGCCATGTGTGTAAATAAACCAACTTTACCTCAGCGGTTAGTGGATGAATGAAGTGTTTAACTATAAGTGAGGAGAAAAGTGTGTGTAAAGCTCTGAGCAGCCTGACGAATGGCGGAGCGCCTCTATTGTAGCCTGCTGTAAACCTCCTGAGACTCTACAAGACTTCTGACTCCTTTCTGTCCTCAACTTCTTTGTTTTTATTCACTTTTCTGAGCTAGGCCAGTTTCCCACAGCACATGTAGTATTATCAGTCACACTTACAGGCGATTTGAGAGCGAATATTGAAAGTAAACAATATGAGGCCGTTAAAATGAGCTGTGTGAATGTAAAAGCAGCTTCAGCTCAATGTGTGCTGTTTCTCTGGCCTCTAACACAGTATACAGAATAATAATGAGTGCATGTAGAGCTCACACAGGAAATAAACAGCATTATTAAACATGTTATAACTCTTGTAACATTAGTCAGCTTCACTCACGCTCAGTCTCCAGTAGTTTGCTCTCAATTCTCCACGGAGATTTCTCACATGCAGGAACAACGATCGTGTGAGCAGCAAATGAAGCAAAATCACACGACTGCAGCCACTACACACTCACAAACTGATGGAAAACGGGAATCTTCCTCTCCTTCACTGCTGTATCCACTACATCTCTCTCTGTGTGACTCCTGCTTCACACTGCGCGCTGTCTAGAAGGGGCGTGCGGTTTCTGCTTTTGCGCATGCGTGAACTCTTAAAGGGGCAGCGCTCAAAACAAACAAACGTGTGTACTACTGGGGAATATAATTAAATATCAACTGGATCTTGTCCAGGTTACATTTATTATATTGTTTAAAATTGATTCTTGATTACTCTACTGCAACACCAAGAATGTATTACAGAACTATTATTGATCCACAAAAACTATTACTGTATTGTTCTCCCGACTCCCCTGCATGATCAATCTCACCAGATCAACAATACTGAAGCACTCTCGCACCTACAGCAGGGAAGAAAACAGAAGCAGAAGAAAAACAGGACAGACAGAGATAATTTAAGGGAATGAATGAATGCTGTTTATATAAACTGAAGTCAAATGTGTGGATTTAATTTGCTTTTAATTTGAATTAAACACTTTCGTAATGTTTATTATGACAAAAATATTTAAAATATAATGTGTGATTAAATTAATACTCCGGCCTCTCGTTTAAACACATCGTTTAAAGTCCTGTACTTTAATCCCACATAATGCTTTTATATTTTATTCTTGTCATTGTGTTTTATTAACCGTTTTACAATGTTCATGTGGACTCATTCAGCTTTAATGTGAATTAACTACTATAATGATTTGTGTAACTTTGCATTTATTGTGTCTATTTCTCTTCTGTGATAATCTCTGTAATGTTGTAATTATAAAACTAAAAACACACAGAAATCATGCAGTTCCAGTGTGAATGGGCTGTGTACAGCGGCGCCAGGTAAAATGCAGCAGATTGGTCAGAGCCGCTCCTGAATCTGCCCATCATGTTAATAATTCATTACTGTTTCATGATATCGAACCCGTTTTCATTTCAGTTCATGTTTTCATTATTAATCTTGATATTAGAAGTTGGCTAAAGTGTAGATTATCCATTTATTTAGGCTATTTATGAACAGAAAAGTTGAACACTGGACACACAATAGGTGATGATGTTCAACTGGACAACTAAATGAGCTAAATGGGAGATTTACAGGTGATTTATAGATCAGCATAATGAACGAGGTGAAAGCATGAACTGTTGACATGAAATAAAGAGTATTTCAGCAGCTCTGGTTATATTGATGACTCTGTTAACACCCTGTAAGCCATTCAGGGTCAACAGCAGCTCAACTTTATTAGGTGAAAATTAAAGACAATTCAGTTTAGGCCATATTTACCATACAAATGTCCATTTAAATTCTACATAAACTTTATCTCAGCCTTTACTGAAATATAGACCAAGAATTAAAGCCTTGTAAAGCAGCCTGTCAAATATATAATCAGCACAAGACTACAAGGACACGACAGTAACAACTCTCCATCAAAACTCATCACAAGACAAAATATTGTTTTTGATCAGTGTGTTCAGGTTATCTCTATATCATATAGTCATCAGTGCAGGTTTATATTGCAGATATCTGTAATGTCATTCTGACTAGTCCAATTATAATGATCATATATCAAAATACAGTTGTGCATTTAGTCAGAACAAGGGTTTACGCTAAACAGCTTGCCATATAAGAGCAAACCAACCGTGCTACATGCTTATTCATTTGTCTCGCCTTAGCAGGGGCGTAGATTTAGCATGGACGGAGAGAGAACGCGTACACACCAATATCCATCAACTATTGAACTGTCCCCCACCAATAATTTAATAAATAAAATAATAATAAATCACACTGAATGCTGACTTACTACCTTAAACAGTAAGTAGCTGTGTTATTCAGTTGATTTTTATGTTAAGTAATGCGCTACGTTATTTTTAAGTGACTTTTTCACAGCTGCCTGAGGCTTGATCTCTTTCAGAACTGGCTGTGTGTTTCTCTTGTTTTTGATAGAGGAGCTCTGCGATGAACAACACATAATGCATTACACAAAACATAACTCAGAAGGGATGGTGGGCCAAATCAAAGGTTACCAGTCAGTAAGTCTTTATTTATTTCCCGAAGGCAATTTGGTTGCAGCATACATACCCTCGGCCAACTTTTGCCTGCGGGCCCTAGTTTGGGCATCTCCGCTCTAGACAAAATGCGTAATGCAGTAATGGATTTACACACTGGGAAATGTCAGGGTGCACTGTAAAAAGTGGAAACTTAAACAAATGACTTCGACTTGAATGAATTAAGTTTGACAAACTTTCACACCTTTGAACCAATTCAGTTGTTCTGAAGCTGAGATTACAAATGTTACATTGTTGCTCTTTGCTCTTGGAGCGGTTCGCTTTCACACTGCAAAGTTTCAAATTGGACCAAAAGAGCTAAAACAAGTCACGTGCGAGTAAACTCTCCTCACATTGGTCAGAGTGTCAGGGTTTATTTTGCAGCGTCCCGCTCAGCTGTCAGGAGAGGTGGTGGTTTGGTGGTGATTGACAGGATGTGTGCGTGCGCGACGTGTCTGAGGAGAGATGCGGTGGGGAGGGGTGAGAAGGGTGCGCGACGATGTGTATTTGAGGACCGGGAGGGAGACGCGAGATTACCGGGAGATCATCACTCGTTTGCAGGCATCCAGAGACTCACGAAACTTCCCGCCCTACTCATAATTCTCTCTTCATATAGCCGTATGCCTATTACATATCCATAAAACACTGTGATATAACCGCGCTCGGATCGGATCGCTTTCTCACTGCAATCGAACCGCTCCAGGGTTCATTTCAATCGAGCCGAGACCCCCTCATTCAAGCGATCTCGGAGCGATTACTTTGGCGCGGAACAGAGTGCGATTGCCCTGTTCACATATGCCAAACGAACCGCGCTAACTGGGCAAACGAGACACGTTCCCAAACAAAAGTGTAAGTGTGAAAGCACCCTCAGTTTCCACTTTTAACAGTATATCGACAGCATTCCTGGTAAACCCAAGGGTTGAGTTAAACATATTTGGTGCTTTTTTTTGGGTTATTTTTAACTTTTATTTGGTTATTTATTAATAACTCAACCAGTTGGGTTAAAAATTTGAATTTCAACAGTCAACTGATTTAACTGACACAAAATGATATGCGTGCGTAATGATGTTTTTGCGTTATAAAGTTTATTTAAGCTACAACGCCATAATTTTGTTATTTTTGATCAAATTACCTCTCCAAGTCGTGGTTTTTATGTCCGTTTCACCATCCAAGACCATCTTTTAGAAGCGTTTGGATGTGGTTAAACTGTATTGTACACTGTGGACACCGAGTGAAGCCTGCTGGACAGCCTCTACAGCACACAGAGCTCCATGTTCTGCTCAGGATTTCATGCTTGATCAGTTTATCACTGTCTGCACTCTGTTCTTCTTTGTTTGTGATCCTTGATTCATTTAAACAAAAGTGTCTGGAACTAAAATGAAATAATGAATTTTTGTAAACTGTATGTTGTTTATTTACCCAGCCTTAATTGTAAAATTATTATTAGTACTAGTAATAGTAGCATTAGTAATACCAGATCGGAAAAAATAACATTTAATTAAAATAACCCAATGCACTGGGTTGAATTATATAACGCAATGCATTGGGTAAAAATAACCCATAGTTGGGAAGGTGCTATAATAACACATAGGTGGGTTATATGTTGGGTTTTTTTTAACCCAACTATTTTAACAGAGTAGCTGAATCCGGGAAGTTGAAAACACCCATCTACAGCCGCATTTCCACTGTCGGGCCAGTGTGAGCCAGAGCTTTTATCAGGCTGGGCCAATCCCAGTGAGGCCGAAGTCATGTCGCGTTTCCACTGTCGGGCTAGTAGCTCGCAGCGCGTCATGCAAACCCCGCCCCCAGAACATCCCCCGAATCAAACGTCACACAACCCGCCCACTTCAGCGGGAATCAGGCAGATAAAGCACACCACATCACCATCAGGAAACTATTAAAATGAAGACAACCGACACAAACTAATGAACCGTTACTGTACAGCAGCACATTATACGTCTATACACACAGACCTGAGTGTTCTCATTCATCATATTCATTTACCTGCTGACCGACTGTTGGTCTCCATCCATAATATAACACCACAGAAATTCTCCGTTAATAACTCGGCAGAAAATGTATTTTATAACATCCTCATGTAGATAGACGCTGTCCAACATTCATCCCAAATGCTCCGGAGAGACCTGAAACATTCACTTTTCCCCATAGGCTTTATGACACTTAATAGGCAATTCCCCTTTATTTAAGGTTGCATATAATATCTTAAGTATTTCCGCACATAAGAGCAAGTCATAAAATATAGCCTGTGTTTCGTTGCGCTCAGCAGCTATCCACTAATAAAGCTCTTCATGTATTTAAGATAAAAAGAGAGCCTAACCTACAGACAAAAGGTCGCCTAGTTTCTGCCTTCACTCACCCCTATAATGCTCTGTTTGCATGATTTGATTAACATCAACATATCCAAATACTTCAGAAATAATATTTCAAACCTTCTCCGGTGTTTGTTGGTTTTAGAAAATATCTAAAATCTTTTTTTTCAGAGAGGCCTTTGTAAAATAAAAGTTTATTATGGTTTTAATCACGGTTTGATGTATGTACTGTATATACCTACACTGTTCTAGCTAGCTTTTGTTCAGGGCTCAACAATAAGGACTGCCCGGTGGCCCAGGGCCAGCTTGAGAGACGCTTGGGACAGTAGACAGGATCATTACTGGCCAGATTGGGACAGTGCTGCCTTGTCACGAACATTTAATTTGTCTGCGACTTTCAATTATGCGCATTTTAAGTTTGTGCTTTAAGTCTTTAAACACTACCTTCTCAATGTAGTCGTAAACACCACATTGCTTTCCGGTTCCGCTTATCTGATTTGATGTTTTGAGCATGATATTTTTTTCCGCAACCTGGGAACAACCAGTACAGAGAAGAAACGGCAACATGGCGACAACATCAAATTATAAGGCTAAAAGAAAAAGCCTGTTTCTAATGTGTTGGAAGCAAAAATTTACATGTGAACAACGTGACAAAAAAAAAATGAAGTGATGTTTTGCACTGTTTGCCCACAGTCAGCCCACCTTTCGTTAAATAATTTCGAACCGCAATAAAATACCTGCACATTCTCCATACTGCTCTTTTTGTTTGCATAACACTCAATAAATATATTAACACTTTTAAGAGAGTTATATTAACACTCAGTGTTTGAACTCTCAGTAATGATAAATCACACTGAACTGAGCTAAACTGAACTGAACTTAGCAACACTAAAACCTGAACCACACTGTTCCAGTTACTATGACCATTTATGTGAAGCTGCTTTGACACAATCTACATTGTAAAAGCGCTATACAAATAAAGCTGAATTGAATTGAATTGAACTTTTATGTTTTTTTAAGTATTGAAATTCTAGATTTACAGACTTTATTTTTGACACATTATTTAAAATATGCGGCTGAAAAATAGCTATTAACTTTTTTTTTTTTTTTTTTTTTGGTGGGGCCAGTAAAAATTTAGGCAGGGCAAGTAAAAATCTAAACCACTGGCCCAATCAGACCAGTAGAAAAAATCCATAGCGTTGAACCCTGTTGTTTGTTTTACAATGGTTTATTTATTTAATGTGATTTTATTATATGCAATATTTGTAAGTCTTTAATGATTTCAATATAGCTTAGGCTATTTCATCAAGATATGGCACTATTGTTTTGACTCTACAAAAGTGGACATGTCATTTGTTAAGTTTCATGTCTTCCTGTGTTTATATTGTGTATTATCTACAAAATAAATAAAATAAGAAAGAAGCCGCTCGCAGCATCAACAGAGCTGTGAAGGGAACGCTCTTTTGCTCTGTCTCACACACACACACACAGGCATCTATACGCACACAAACACACCTTTTAAACTTGACAAAAACTCTGGAAAACCTTTACTGTCTGCTGTGTGTTTAATATGGTGTAAAGATTATTATGCGTTATTGAAACATCAAGGAGGACGCAGCAAAGAAATTCACTTTTAAATTAAACTTTATTATTTTATGCAGCAGCCTTACATTTAAAAGGGAAACATTAGGGTGATCATACGCAAAAGACGCCAGCCTGTATGGCTAGATGTTTTCTTTCCCTTAATTATTCGTTTATGTGTTTGGCGCATGTATTTGTGGACGATTGGAAAAATGTGTCCGCCTCTCACTCCGCCCCGAAGCCCCAGCTGGCCCTCTTTGGCCCAAGGTATTCGACGGGCTGAAAAAGGCCGGCCGCTGGCCCCAAGAAAGCCCCGCTTTGGCCCTGTCACACCTACTGCAGTGCCCTCTGGTGGTTTTCAATGGCACCAGTTTTGGTTTTTGTGTTTCGTATCCTAGTCATGTGATCACTCCTTGTTTCCAGCTGTCCCTGATTGTCTAATTAGTTCTGTCTTTATAAGCCCTGTTATGTTGTGTTTAGTTTGCCTTTGGATTTTCAATGTTCTGTTTAGGTTTGTCGTGCTTTATTCGTGATCTGGTTCATCGTGTTTGGTTTGTTTGTTTGTTCACTTTGTTTAGTATCATTACTATGTTTTTGGATACCTGTTTAGATTCACTTTTGAGCTAGTGGTGGGCAAAGCGAGGCTTCGTGAAACACTGAAACTATCGAAGCAAATGAGTCGAAGCTTCGAAACGTTTCGAAACACCACTCTACGGTGACACCTAGTGGTCATTTTATTTGTATTTCACTGAAACCGCTTCAGCAAAGAACAGTTGAGCAAATTGAGGTATCAAACCCCACTTAGTTGCCATTAATCATCAAATGGTTTAGTCGAGCGGTTAGAGTTTGTGACTACCATGCGGGAATAATGGGTTCGAATCCAGACTGACACAATTGTGTTTAATACCAGTTGGTAATGCTTTGTTATTGTGTCGTTTTGTTTCAACATTGCTCTGACATACCAATAAACATTTGTAAATAAATTTGTATTGTTTTGTTCATAAAACAGGGTTGTTACTAGATCAGATACAGTTGTGGCCAGAAGTTAACAATAATTATTTATATTATTAATTAAATTTCCCATTGTATTTTATTAACGTCTATCCAAAACCTAAACCCATTACAGTACTGTAAAAATATGAATTATTGTTTTACAGTGTTACAAAAATGATGCTAAATTGATGGTGTATCCGCAGCTGTATCCTATCTAGGCTACACCATAAAACAGTAACATGATTAAAATACATAAAATCATGATTTTGGAGTATTTGTACTAGTCGAGATTCGAACCCAAAATAAAATGGAATTACAGTACCATAGTGCACACGCACAGTCCACTAGGCCATACAAGACAGAGACATAATGAAGATCATGCCAGTCAAATGCAGATTCTCCGGGTTTTGAAACGCCTCTGAAATGATCGATGCTTTGAATCGCTTTTGTCACGTGACCAAGTGTTTCGAAACACTTTAGTTACGTGACCTGGGTGTTTCGGATCATGCTTCGGTGCAGTGTTTCGAAACACTTGCGCTTCGGGATCTCGACACTGTGTCGAAACGTCAGTTTCACGTCAGCCATCCCTATTTTGAGCTTCATTTTTGCACTTCATGTTTTCCTCGATTTCAGTACCTTGCCTGTCCCTTTGTCATTTTTTTGGGATCTTTATTGTTTGGCAATAAATGTGTTTTGCTGCACTTGGATCTTTCCCTTGTTTTTGTGATACCCAGTCGTGACAGGCCCGATTAGGCCCCGGAAGTGACAGTGGAAACGTGACTGGCCTTAGCTCGCTCGCTTTAGGTACGATAGTGGAAATGCGGCTTATGGTACAATCAATTCTTAAAAATGACTCAATCCCTGATCCCTTGGGCAGAGTCACTACAGGCAGAACTACTTCAGACACTGTTTGTATTGGTAGGAGAACAGATCAGCGGTGCCCTCTCTCTCCTCTTCTGTTTAATCCATCAATAACACCGCTGGCTCAATCAATTAGACAATGTAGAAATATTATCAATTCAATTAGGCTCATCTGTCCAGTCTATCTCTTTATTTCTATCTGATTTACGAAGTTCACTCCCCAATGCTGTCAAAGCTTTAATATTCTGAATCTATCCTGATTTCCATTAATACAATTAGCCATAATGTGCTCAAATATACAGATAATCAACAGACCGACCTTACAACCCATACTCAAAATAAATAATATGTCGATTGACGGAAAGGTTGAGGCTGATATCCAGAGGTGGATGCACCTACCCTCATCACCATCAGCCAGAATATCTACAATAATAATCAATATCTTGCCCAGAATTATTTTCATAAACTCCACCCCTCCCCTCGCCCCAGCTGATATCGAAATCTAAACCAAACAAGCGATTTAACTTAAACAGTGAAAAACGTTTAACATTGAAAATTAAAATCTGAATAAGAAACAACGAGGACACGAACTGAAAGATGATCAACGTGAATCCCGAATGGAAATGAGTTTAGAGTTACACTGTTCAAACCTGAATTCAGAGTTTCTCTAATAGCAAACAACATCAGTTTTCCTGCTCATATGTTAATGTTGTGTGTGATTATGGTGTTTTCACCTTCACTCCTGATCCAAAACAGCCTCACACACCAGAGAATGCTCTTCTGCACTGATGTCATGTGTGCTGCTTTTCTCCAGTGTGGACTTTCAGGTGTTTCTTAAGCTGCACCGAGTGTGTGAATCTCTCCAGACACTGATCACATGAGTACGGTTTCTCTCCTGTGTGAAGTCTCTCATGTGTTTTTAGGTTTCCTAACAGACTGAATCTCTTATCACAGTGTGAACACTTGTACGGTTTCTCTCCAGTGTGGATCCTCTGGTGGTGTTTCAGTTCTGCAGCTGTAATAAAAGTCTTCCCACACTCAAAGCACATATACTCTTTAACACCAGTGTGGATCTTCTGATGGCGTCTTAAACTTGAATGCTCTGTAAAACTCTTTCCACACTCAGAGCATGAATGAGGCTTCTCCTTTGTATGAACTCTGAGATGGAGTTTCAGCGCTGACGCCCTCAAGAATGTTTTGCCACATTGATCACATCTGTGGGTTTTCTCTCCAGTGTGGATCATCATGTGTTGAGTAAGAGATGATGATAGTCTAAAACTCGTCCCACACTGAGTACATGTAAACGGTTTCTCTCCAGTGTGGATCCTCATGTGTCGATTAAGAGATGACGATAGTCTAAAACTCGTCCCACACTGAGTGCATGTGAATGGTTTCTCTCCAGTGTGGATCCTCATGTGTTCATTAAGATTATACTTGCTTGCCAGACTCTTTCCACACTGACTGCAGGTCAAACATTTCTTGTCTCTTTGCATTAAAGTATCTTCAGTTTGTAAATGAGGTGTTTTCTCAGCTTTTAGGAGTTCATCATCTTCACTCTCCTCACTCTCTTCACTAAGGTCTAAAATCAAAGTTAAAAGATTCAGTTTTTAGTAAGTCATAAACAATAGGAGCAAAATATGAAGGTTAAAGGCTAAATAAATATAAGATAAATTATTAAATAAGATACAGTCCAGTAGTCCAGTACTACAAATGTCTCATTTACAAAATGTAGTAAATGTAAAATAAATAAGCTCAGATTAACATTTAAATATGTCTTATGTTAACAAATATTAAATAAACGATAAAATCAAGTGTCAATTTTTTTACCCGGAATAGAAAGTGAATTTACACTTCTCCTTTTATTGAAACTCTTGAACTCTTTTGCCTATAGTGCAGACGATACATCAGATGAAGTGTTCAAAGCTTTTTCTGAATCAGGAATAAACACAAACCTGTTTGTTCTTCAGTGTCTTCATCTGTAATTCTGCAGGGTTCTGGATCACTCATCTTCCCACTGTCCTTCAATAAACTCAGATTTGACTTCTGTCTGAAGGTCTGATGCTCGTCCTCACTTGTAGACTGATGGGAATATTCCAGTATTTATAGCTGAAATGAAGGAGGAGGAGGAGTTTCACTTGAGGAGGAGGGGCTTTATTAACAAATGATCACCTAAGACTAGTGTTTCCTAATATGGTCTTTGTGCACAAACATAGCAGAGAACTACAACAAGAACTACAGCAGTCTCCAAAAATCTGATGTCAATATCTGGATAGGCTGTTTTTTGGTCTGACGGCAGAATTGGAGGAATGGACAAATGCTCTTGGTGCTGTTGATCTCTATGGACGCCAAAATAAGCTTATTTTTTATCTTATCATAATGTTTAAAATAGGGCCGGGTGATAATTCGATATTGATAATTATCACTATATATAATTTTTCAATGAAACGATAATGACAGTTCAATAAGTGTGCGATAATATTTGCGCACTATGCGTAACGTTGCACAGGCATTTTGCAGCCTGCCCTTCCAGACGCAGTACACGCTTACAGCCATACAGAGTTAGATGCAATTGGAGGAGTGAGACAAAATAAGGTAAAAAGGTCACAGACATTGTTGACAGGAAACATCATTAAGCGTCAGTAGTCTGGAGCTATTTAGTGTTTTGCAATTCAAAACAAAACAGAGCAACGTGCACTACAAACTGCGCAGACGACTCGTGTCATCAAAAGCAGACAACACCACAGACCTGTTTCACCATTTAAAACAACACCACCCTTATGAAGATGCTAATAAGATTACAGACCCAAACAAGTGTTGATAAACCAGCGCAGCTACCCAGTAGAGTTTCATGTCATCATTTTAGACAACCATACTTTCATGAAAAACCCATGAAAAGACAGACGAAAGACATGACAGACAACACAGTCTCAAACACATCTCAATGAACACTTGAGGCTTGCTCTACATGCTGCATTATTTAAGGGCATTCGTTACGACATTAATAGGATCTTTTGTTGTCAAGCTTATGTTTCCTTATTAATATTAGGATATTAATATGTTTCTTTATTTAACCAGATAAAAACCCATTGAGATCAAGATTTCGTTTACAAGGGTGACCTGGCCAAGAGGTCTGCAACACACGATTTATAAAAAAATATATAATAATATTAATAGATAGAAAATATACACATAGATATAAAAATACAGTTCAGTTTTTCAGCTTTACACATTTCAATATATTAAAAACACATAGATTGAGAAATGAAATGTTGTTGTTTGGTAAAAGGATAGAGCGAAACGATGTCATTGGGATGAGCTCAGATATTTTTAGTTCAGACTGAAGAGTAGTCCAGGATGAGGGGTTGGCATGACTAAAGGCTCGCTTCCCTATTTCAGTTACATGTTAAGTCAACAAACGCGCGCGAATAGACATCCTGCGGCGCGATATGCAGGAATGGCGCGCTGCGAATAGCGCAATACGTGCGAATTGAGCGTTTTGCGCGTTTGACACACTTAACGAGCGTTTCACGCAAATCTCTCGAATACGAAAATCTGAACTTCAGCTGACATTCGCGCCGCGTTAACCAATTAGAAGCTTGCTCTTGTGGGGGCGTGATTGTGAAATCCTCCAGGCGACACCGACAACAAGTCATCAAACTGGGCTCGGCTCAGTCAGAAGCACCGCTGAAAGCCTCCGTCATCCAGGTTCAGTTTCTGGAGGAGTTTCACAGAGCTGGATGCACCTCTGAAAGGATGTAGTGGACTCAGACACGACCCTAAACGTATCGACGCTGTTTTTCAGTCTTCATAAAGCACATAAACACTGTTATTTTCTTCATAAAATCCATGTTAGCCTTTTAGCAACGAAGCTACAGTCACCGGGCAGACAGAAGCCCTGCCCATCACGCGAATCTGCGTCTGTTCTGAAGTGAATTTGACACGCGAATGAAGCGAGGTTTGACACGCGAATGAAGCGAGTAAACTCAAATGTTCACGCGGCTATTTACGCGCGAATAGCGCGATTTATCCGGGCGTTCCGCGTCAGGTGTGAACACAGCATTAGACTTATGGAGAAGGGAACATGGGTATGAAGGCACCAGTCCCATCAGAAGAGCCTTGTAGACCAGAGTCATCCAGTGGGTGAACCTTCTTACATACAGAGAAGGCCACTCTGGCATACAATTCACAATGGCGAGTAAGTCTCTGACAGCCTGTAACAAACCTTAGAGCAGTGTGATAGATGGAGTTTAAAGGCTGAAGACATTTGTTTGAAGCATGCATATATAAAACATCACCATAGTCAATCAATGGTAAAAATGTTGCAGACGGCAAATGTTTACGAGCTTTTAGAGAAAAGCAGGATGCATTTCGATAGTAAAATCCGAGCTTAACTCTCAATTTTCAAACCAAATTTGCTCTGTGTTCTTTTAAAGAAAGCTCCTGATCGAGTAGAAAGCCTAAATACTTATAGCTATTTGTTTTGAACTCTGTAACAGCACTATTGTCCCTCATCAACGGAAAAAAACAGCCTTTATAAAGGACATGATCACTGAGGAGAAATCAGAGGCTCAAGATATATAACAGACGTCTACAACAGCAGTGGATCATCAATTAAAGCCTTATTTTCCAAAGGAGAGAAGCATCATCCACCGCAGTTGTTTGAGACGGGCACAAACTAAAAATATAAACGCTTTATCTTTTTGCAGCGGTGAAAATATAAATGTGTATAATCTAATTTTAAATGAGCAATAATCAGCATATATCTGAAAAGGCACATTCTTTGGTCTTTAATTATATCCTTTCCTAACAGTCCAGCTATGAGGGACATTTATGCCTAGTTCACACTAGAGGATTTTAAGCCTGATTTGAGCCCGATTTGGAAGTTAACGAGCTCGCAGACAGATCGGGCTGTGATCGGGAAGAAATCTGCAGGTTCTCGGCGCTCGCCGCTCTTTATGTGTGAACTACTGAACAACGCATCAACTAGGCTCTCTGACGCGTCGCCGACACCTCGCAGACGGAAATCCAACATTCAGCATGCTAAATATTCCAGAGCAGTCAGCGTGAAGTGATGAGCTGCAGCCAATGAGAGAGCATTTCAGCATGAGCTGAATGCCTGTGTGTTCAGCAGAAACATCTGTGATTGGTCAGAATGGGCATCAGTGCACTCGCTTCATTCTGCGTTAACACAGACATGAGAGAAGACTATATTAACAGTGGAACTAGAATTCTGTAACTATTAGACTTACCATACTGCTCATTCTGACCGTTCTCATATAAAACACCATACTGTCACAACATATTTACATTCAAAGCTATTATTGAGATATTAAAATTAAGCTTTAAATGTCTGGCATCATATTTAATGACACCATTACCCTAAAAATATCATCTTTTTTTGGTAATACAGCCTATAAATATGTAGTTAAGATACTAAAACACTTAAAGGTCTTGGCTTTCATTTTCACTTTCAAACAGGAGCTATTTCACGGCACAGAATCTGCTGTTTTGAAAGATATCTGAAGTAAATTGATGTTTTTGCCATCAGAAAGTTTTGTTTATGTTAGCAGGAAGTTGCTAGGCAAGAAAATGCACACATATTTAAAGTCACAGTGAAAAGTATCAGACATGCATGCAGTCATTTTGACCAATATGGTAATTTAAGGCAGAAATGCTCAGTTCTTTACTGTTTTGTAATTAAAAAAAAATAACAATGTCAGAAAGAAATACACTGATAGTTAGAAAACGGCAGGGTGTTATAAATATGTTAGTTTTATTTCAAAGAGTTATAAAATTACAAAAATTAAAAACTCTCTGTGTATCTATCCACTCAAACCTTGCAGATGAGTGATTAATCCGCTGATAAATCCGCTGATTTGACGATGTTTTTAAATGCTTTCTCCAAAGCTTGAAACGCTGTCAGTGATGTCATCAGCACACAAGCAGCCAATAGTGTTCAGCTTTTTCTGACGACTCCTCCCTCAAATTTTCATTGGCTGTGGTTTGGTAGCTTGAATGAGCTGATGGGGAATGAGTTGTTGTCAGATCATGTAGTGTGTGACCCTCCTCTTGTGGATCATTCACGGAGTGTTGCGTAGTGTGAAAACCACAGAGATTAAAAGACACATAGTCAAGTCATGTAGTGTGAACGGCACAGCGATCTGCTGATGTTTAAAATCCTGTAGTGTGAACCAGGCTTTACTCCGCTCGTCTTTCTGACTACAGCTGAGCTAAAGTGATGCAAATGCTGCGGTCAGGCTTTTAACGACTCTGCCTTTGTCTTCAGGTGATACTTTGAGGCTAAAGAAAGCCCTTTTGTTGATGAACTTGTGTGGTCAGTAGCTGGGCCGGTTTTTAACACCTGTACGCCAGTTATCAAGATGACTCCAATACTGAATTTGCATGCTTTGTTTAGCCATCCCCCCTCCTCCTAAAGAAGACATTACGACGGCCGACACTCACATTACATTCGGGCCTGGGCACGCTTACGTCGTTGATGATGCACTGTTGAGTAAGCGCTCTCGCTCAGCACATTGGATATTACTTTAGTAATATCGGTTAAGTCGTTTGATATGCAGTGACACAGTCAGATATATCGCCGAATAGATCAGCCACTGCTGACGCTCATAAACAATCATAAAGTCCTGGTGCTGCAGGAATGAGGAGGTTTGCTGAAGGTGCAGTGAGGGGTTTGCGTATTTAATAATCAACAACAGTTTGTGTTCACTGAACAGTAAGAATGATTAATAAATCCATATCAAGCAGCTCCATAAAACAGCTCGCTTTCATTTTCAGGCTCAGGTGCGCTTTGCACCCACACCACGCCAAAGCCCAAGTGAACCGCGCCTGAGGCCCCGTTTACACTAGTGTGTATAAATTTGAAAACGTATAAATTTTGCTACGGTTACGCCATCCGTCCACACTACGCCGGAGTTTTCGAGCGCCGAAAACGAATCGTTTTGGAAGCCCCTATCACATGACTATAACACATGGCTTTAACGCTACCGGAAGACAGCAGACCAGCCTTCACTGTAAACAACAACATGGACTCAGAAATGGGAGCGTTGTTTGCACTATTGTCTGTTTTAGGTGCCATTGTGCAGTTATTCATTTGTTATGTTTAGTAACAACTCAACTTCGACGTCTGTCCACAAAAATACCTCTCTTGCTTTCTTTGCCATTGCGTTCATTGTTCAACCGGCGTTTGCTGACAAAAAAACAACCAAATGCCGAGCGAGACACATGCTACCTGTTTATACTTGAATGCGCATGCCTAGAGTGCAAGACAGTGTTGGGCAATATATTAAATTTTCAGATTGACATATCGGCCCCCTGTGAGATCACGATACACGATACTATCGCATGGGGCGCAGCAGTGTTTTATAATACTATAATATATATATATATATATATATATATATATATATATATATATATATATATATATATATATATATATATACATACATATATATTTATACACACACACACAGTTGAAGTCAGAATGATTAGAGCCCATGTTTATTTTTTTCCCCAATTTCTGTTCTGGGAAGATTGTTTCAGCACATTTCTAATCATAATATTGTTAATAACTCATCTCTAATAACTGATTTATTTTCTCTTTGCCATGATGACAGTAAATAATATTAGACTAGATATTCTTCAAGACACTTCTACACAGCTTAAAGTGACATTTAAAGGCTTAACTAGGTTAATAAGGTTAACTAGGCAGATTAGGGTAATTAGGCAAGTTATTGTATAACGATGGTTTTGTCTGGAGACTATCGAAAACATATTAGCTTAAAGGGGCTAATAATATTGTCCCAAAAATGTTTTTTTAAAAATTAATAACTGCTTTTATTCTAGCCGAAATAAAACAAATAAGACTTTCTCCAGAAGAAAAAAAAATGATCAGGCATACTGTGAACATTTCATTGCTCTGTTAAAAATAATTTGGTAAATATTTAAAAAAGAAAATAAAAATCAAAAGGGGGCGAGTAATTCTGACTTCAACTGTATATATAATTATTATATTTAACCATATCGAAACATATTTATTAACCTTTCGGCTGATTTTTAAACTTATTTAATAACCTATATCATTTGCATAACGTTTGATTTTGGATAATAATTCAAACCAATGCAAATGACTGCGCTCTTACAGCTAAATGGGCTTTGAGACCGAAATTATATCAAACAAGACTCGATGCAACAGTGCCGCGCGGGACGGGATTTGATGGTGACCTCAGGTTCACGCGTTATCCTCGGCCAGCAGGACTGCCGCAATATGGATATAATATACATGGCTGAAAGCAAATGAAATGATATTTATCTACGCACAAAAGAAACAAGCATGCATTAAGTTCCTTTCAGACAGGTGGCGGATGGAGGAGTCTAACTTTTTTTTTGTAACTAAATTAAAATAGTTTTGAGCAAAAAAAGTTACTGATGTGTCAATATGATACATAACAGATACACAAAAACATCTATATGGTATAAAAATAAATCTTGAAAGATGGATTAATAAACATCTCAGTTCCAAAACATATGATTATTCTGACTGTTTGTTCATGTGTCAGTTTTAACATAATCATTATAATCAAGTAAATAGAACTCATCTAGGGGAATTTTCAATCGGAATATTATTAGCTATTTTATCTGAAATACATTGAGGTTTGTAGTTACACAAACATACATTTTGTATGATCCCTCTTATTTTGGCAAATTTATTAATTAAAAATAAATAAAGAACATTTTTCAGATTATTCTTATAACTTCTGACCTCAACTGTACTGTATGTATGATTTGACAATTTATTTTGATAAAAAAAAAAAACATTGTAAAACCCTAAACAATTCTACATGAACACTACACTTGGCTGTGTGACTGCATGTTGTTTTAAATGATTTTAAAACGTGTGCCAACGTATGCAACTCATGGTATTATTTTTTATCTAATAAATTACAATATTACACTCATATAAAATGCAAAAAAAAAAAACATTTTAACAAAACATATTTATTTATTTTTATTATTTGAAACTTTTAATAAGGATGATTTCAAAAATAGTTTTAGCACAATGGCGCCCCTATGCGCCGCATATACTGCACATACCGCTTTTAGCGCCACTGCATAGAAATACAGTAGTATCATCCTGAAATGTGTACATTTAACTACAACTTTTACTTAAACACTTGGAAATTGCCGGATTTGAGCAGGTAACAAAAGCAGTATTGTGCTAACAAGCAAGCTACTACAGGTTGACGAGAACAACAGCTCATCTTCCGTCGATAATAACTTTATAAAACAGTAAGATCACGCAGTATATCACAACTTCTGACTCCTTTCTGTCCTGACTTCTTTGTTCACAGCACATGTAGTATTATTAGTCACACTTACAGGCGATTTGAGAGCGAATATTGAAAGTAAACAATATGAGGCCGTTAAAATGAGCTGTGTGAATGTAAAAGCAGCTTCAGCTCAATGTGTGCTGTTTCTCTGGCCTCTAACACAGTATACAGAATAATAATGAGTGCATGTAGAGCTCACACAGGAAATAAACAGCATTATTAAACATGTTATAACTCTTGTAACATTAGTCAGCTTCACTCACGCTCAGTCTCCAGTAGTTTGCTCTCAATTCTCCACGGAGATTTCTCACATGCAGGAACAACGATCGTGTGAGCAGCAAATGAAGCACAATCACACGACTGCAGCCACTACACACTCACAAACTGATGGAAAACGGGAATCTTCCTCTCCTTCACTGCTGTATCCACTACATCTCTCTCTGTGTAACTCCCGCTTCACACTGCGCGCTCTGTCTATATCGGGCGTGCGGTTTCTGCTTTTGCGCATGCGTGAACAAACGGGGCAGCGCTCAAAAATCAAAATAAACGTGTGTACTACTGGGGAATTTAATTGAATATGAACTAGATCTTGTGCTGGTTTCATTTATTACATCTTTTAAAATATATTTGGATTACTCTATCCACAAAAACTATTAATGTGTTGTTCTCCCGACTCATCAGATTAACAATACTGAAGCACTCTCGCACTTATAGCAGGGCAGAAAACTGAAGCAGAAGAAAAACAGGACAAAGACAGAGGAAATTTAATGGAATGAATAAATGCTATTTAAATAAACTAAAGTAAAATGTGTGATTAAAAATTAGCTGGCTTTCACCTGGCTTACAGTGCTAATGTGGAGACATTAATAATAATAAATCAATATATCATGCTATAGACGCACAGATGTTTGTAGTCTTCTGGTTAAATGAGTGTTTGTCTCTTTAAGTCTCTTAGTCGTCTGTGGAAACATGGCGGAGAACAGCCAAACTGCAGATGCTGGTGAGTAAAAATAAACCCAGAATGACTGAAATGACCGAGTTCATCAGTTCCCGACGGCTCTTTATCACAAACCTGATGCCAGAGATACTGCAGGACTGATCAATACGAGATTATTTCAATTAGATATTACTGTATGTCATCCTATTAACAGCAATCTTGATGAATATATGTATATATGTGTATATATGTTGAGAAATGTCTTGTTTTGTTATTCATGTATCCTGGAGTACTGTAAGAAAAATAAGTCAAATTGCATTCATATATTTATGCTGTTTTTGCATTTAGTTCACTATTATTATTATTATTCATTCATTCATTTTCTTTTCGGCTTAGTCTCTTTATTAATCTGGGGTCGCCACAGTGGAATGAACCGCCAACTCATCCAGCATGTTTTACGCAGCAGATGTTCTTCCAGCTGCAACCCATCTCTGGGAAATATTCACTATTAATTAAACACAATTTTAATCAGTTCTTGTATCATCATCAACTGAATAGGCGGTAATATATCAGATATAATATCTATACGGTGGCTCAGTGGTTAGCACTGTCCCTTCACAGCAAGAAGTTTGCTGGTTCAAGTCCCAGCTGAGTCAGTTGGTGTTTCTGTGGGGAGTTTGCATGTTTTCCCCGTGTTGGCATGGGTTTCCCCCACAGTCCAAACACTTGCGCTATAGGGGAATTAGGTAGGCTAAATTGGTTGTGGTGTATTAGGGTGAATGAAAATGTGTGGGTGTTTCCCAATGATGGGTTGCAGCTGATAGGGCATCCACTGTGTAAAACCTGCTGAATGAGTTGGCGGTTCATTCCGCTGTGGCAACTGCCCTTTTAATAAAGGGACTAAGCTGAAATACTAATAAAATTTGTGAAAAATAATGTTTTTTAGTATACTTGTTCAAGTTTACTGAAGCAGTACTAATGTATGTATATATATATATATATATATATATATTTTTTATTTTTTTTTTTTTAAAGATTTATCTTCTGCCTTTATTAGATAGGACAGTATTTAGACAGGAAGCGAATTTTGGGAGAGAGTGAAAGAGAGTAGGGCAGGGAAATGTCCTCGAGCCAGGATTCGAACTCAGAACGCCCTAATGTGCTACTGCACCATATGTCGACACAGGCTATTGCACAGACATATTTTTTTGAAAGAATATTTGTTGTAAATACAAATTAGTTAAATTAAGATGTCGCTAACATTTCACACCATGTGGAAAATAACATACAATGTTGAAAATCACTAATTGTGCTGTTTACACACATGAAATAAGCTAAACCTTATTAAATACCCACGAGCCACTTGAAACTTTATATCACATTCTCATTATTTTTATTTTTAAACAGAAATATTTGCTTTCTTTTAAAAATAAACACATTTCCAATCTGATATGTAATGGGGAAAATAGAAAAACAAGTTCATGACGCTGCCCAGCTAGCAAAACTCATGTGGCTCAAATCCGGCCCACATACTGAATGGAATGAAGGCACTTGGGCGGCCCACAATTAAGCCATAGCAATACCCCATATTAGCCAGAATTCAATCCAAAAACCCAGAACTGACCCTATTCTGGGCCACAGTTTGCTTTTATTCTAGCCCACACCAGACACTTACATCTGGACCACATACTGAATGGAATGATGGCACTTGGGCGGTCCGCTCCTGTTTGCCAGATCTGGGCCACAATTAAGCCAAAGCAATACCCCATATTAGCCAGAATTCAACCACATAAACCAGAACTGACCCTATCCTGGGCCACAGTTTGCTTTTATTCTGGCCCAAATCTGGCCTATTACTTCTAATAATGGATTAAACATTGGTAAACATCAGTGAATTTAATTATTTCATCACAGGTTGTGCCTCATTTAGCTGGTCATCTCCCAGACCAGGCTGGAAATGGCCGGAAACCAGCCTGGAAGTAGCCAAAACCCATCTAAAACCAACCTGGTCGACCTGCTAAGACCAGCTAACCAGCCTAGGCTGGTGTAAGCTGGATTTTTCAGCAGGGTTTGCATTGATTTAACATGAAAATCACTCGCGCTTGACGCTTCTTCTGCGTTTGGAATTGCAGCGCTTTAATAAATGGTCTTAGCAGAAGGCATCGTGCATTAAACAGGCAAAGCAACGGATTATTATTAGTCAACATATTCAGATGACACCACATCTGTAATCTTTAACATGTTCATGAGTAACTGTAATTTAGTTACTCATTTTTTCTCAGTAACTGTATTGAATTAGTTACTTGTATTTTGTAATTAATTTATGTAACGCCGCTACATGTAACTAGTTACTCCCCAACACTGTGGATGTGATTTCATGCATGCTTATGACAGCTCTTATTAAGTGTCATCCGGTCAGTTATGACCTTTTAACTGCAAAGACAACTTGACGTAAACAAATGCATCACAGCTAGTCTTCATCTCTGTCAGCACAACGTGATGTGTCTCTGTGTGTGTGTGTCAGACGGCTCTGATCTCCGAATGGTCCTGCTGGGTGTGACCGGCTCCGGGAGGAGTTCTGCTGGAAACACACTCCTTGGTCGCTCTGCGTTCTGGACGGACACGTCCTCGGTGTCGGTCACCAGCCGGTGTCAGAGGGCAGGGGGTGTGGTTGAGGGGCGGAGCCTGCAGGTGATTGACACCCCGGGCTTTTTCCACACCTGCCTAAGCCCGGAGGAAGTGCGCGTGGAGCTGAGCCGCAGTGTGGATCTGCTGGCCCCGGGGCCGCATGTGTTTGTGCTGGTGCTGCGGCCCTGCAGGCTGACCCCGGAGCAGTGCGCGTCTCTGCACTGCACCCGCGCCACGTTCGGCCCGCACGCGCTCACACACACCATCGTCTTACTCACATGCAGAGATGCACTCGGCTCCAAACCGGCGGAGGACTTCCTAAAGGAGAGCTCGGAGCTATGGGAGTTTGTGAGCGAGTGCGCCGGCGGATTCCACGTCTTCGACAACACTAAAGCTCACGAGGACAGGTCACAGGTAAGGTTATGACCACACTGGCAGATTTGCTTCATTTCGGATTGCTTTCCTCACGATATACGGTATTATCATGACGTTTAGCTAAGCTGCGGGAAAGGGTACGTTACAGTGACCGATTCTGCCCTGTTTACTCTGAGGTCTGCTGAGTGTATGTGTGTGCGTTTTATTTTGGTGACTGCCGCTTTAAATTCTAATTGTGCTCTTCTCAGAAAAGAGGCGGAGCTACAAATGCCTGTGTGTCAGCATAGCGGCAGATACTAAAACAAGACTAACGTCATATGCTAATATGTCACAGGTGTCGGAGCTGCTTCAGAAGGTGGATCGGCTGGTCGAGCGTAATAAAGGATCTCATTACACCGCAGACAGGCTCCTGCAAGCCCAGGCGGACATTCTGCAGATCCAGCAGAGGATTCTGGGAGAGGGGGCGAGGCCTGTGGCTGAAGTCAGGACGCTGAGGAGGAGGAGTCTAGGAGGAGGGCGGAGCGTGTGTTCTGGTACGAGCTGCTGACGGCGGTGGGCCGCGGGGCGGTGGAGGCGTCAGGGGTGATGGAGAAGGGGAAGGGCAAAGGGAAGAAGGTGAAGGCGGTGCAGAGGGCGGCGGCCATCGCTGCCACACCGCTGTCAATCAACACCGCTGCTAAAGTTGTGGGTGGAGCCATGAGGGAAGGGGCCAAAATACTGGACAAACATAAGAAGACATTCCTGCGCTGACACACATACAGTACACACACACACACACACACACACACACACACACACACACATACAGCTGAAGACTAAATCCTTCAGCCTCAAGTGACAATTGTATTCATTGTTTATTGTGTTTAATAAATCGTCTCACCATTAAACAGAACCCTACTGAAAAAAACAGCTTAAACCAGCCTAGGATGGTTGGCTGGTTTTAGCTGGTTAACCAGGCTGGTTTTAGAGGGGTTTTGGCCATTTCCAGGCTGGTTTCCAGCCATTCCAGCCTGGTCTTAGCTGGTCAGGCTGGGAGATGACCAGCTAAAACCAGCTTGACCAGCCAAGCCAGGCTGGGAGCCCAGCCAAAACAAGCTATATCCAGCTTAAACCAGGCTGGTCAAGCTGGTTTTAGCTGGATTAAGCTGGTCATTTTCCAGCTTGACCAGCTAAAACCAGGCTGGAAATGGCTTGAAAGCAGCCTGGAAATGGCCAAAACCCCTCTCAAACCAGCCTGGTCGACCAGCTAAAACCAGCCAACCAGTCTAGGCTGGTTTAAGCTGGATTTTTCAGCAGGGAAATTGGGGAATATTAAAAAGAATTCAAACTCCACATGAGGCTGAATCATGTTATCTTCAGTCTATATGTGGTTTAAGAGGACTAAACCACTTTGGCCTGAACCAACCACTGCAAACCTGTGGCAAAAACTGAATGTGGGAACACCGCTTTAAGTAGGACTTTAAGCATTTAGAATTACGAGGACACAAGGCATGTCCTCATAAACCACCTTAAAGTAACGCTTTCATCACACGCATTTCATTGCACAAGTCCTCATAAACCATATAAACAAGCACACACACACATTTTCCTCATCAGACGGCGTCCACTGTAATGAAATATAACTTCATGCAAGTACCAAATATCTGCGCTACAGCATAATAAAGTGTCTGTGAGGTCCTATGTGGGACCTGTTTGTTTGTTGTGTTTTGCAGAGCCTGCATGATTGCAGATTGGTGGGTGGGCCATTATGTGGCGCCTATAAAGCATCCAACAGCAGACATGAGAGGAGAGTTTGATTAGCTGGATCTGCCTGCCTGGCAGTTTTGATTTATTTTAGTTTGTTTTGGATCATGAGCTCGGTTCACCACCATACACATGCTTTTCACTGCTGACTTCCGTTTATACTGACTGTCAGTGCTTTTTGATTGAAATACTTTTGTTAATAAACCATTTCTCTTCTCAGTTGACCCGGTCCATATTGTCTCTTTAATGTTGTGATTTTGAGCCGGTTGTAACAGTGTCAGTTTCATAAGTAAGCTGAACTGATCTCACGGATCGTCCCGGCCAATCACAGCCAACTTATATTTCCCATAGAAGATTATTACGCCTGTTTATTTATTCATTCTTTCATTTTCCTTCAGCTTAGGCTGCTTTCACCCCTGTGAATCGATTCAGTTGTTCTAAAGCAGAGATTACTATTGTTACAGTGTTGCTCTTTGCTCTTGGAGCGGTTTGCTTTCACACCGCAAATTTTCTAATCGGCCCAGAAGAGCTAAAACAAGTCACATGTGAGTAAACTCTCCTCACATTGGTCAGAGTGTCAGGGTTTATTTTGCAGAGTCCCGCTCAGCTGTCAGTGGTGGTTTAGTGGTGTTTGACAGGGTGCACACGACGTGTCTGAAGAGCGAGGAGGGATGCGGTGGGGAGGGGTGAGAAGGGAGCGCGTCCTATTTGAGAACCGGGAGGGAGACGTGCGATTTCTGGGAGATTATCACTCGTTTGTGGGCATCCGGGAGACTCTGTGCTTTGCAGGAGACTCCTGAAGCTTCCGGTAGACTTGGGATGTCTGGACCTTCCGCCCTCCCTACTCATAATTCTGTCTTCGTATAGCCGTATGCCTATTACATATCCATAAAACACTGTGATATAACCGCGCTCGGATCGTATCGCTTTCTCACTACAATCGATCCGCTCCAGAGTTCGTTTCAATCGAGCCGAGACCACCTCATTCAAGCGATCTTGGAGCAATTGATTTGGCGCGGATCCTAGCGCGATTGCTGGATTCACATGTGCCAAACGAACCGCGCTAACTGGGAAAACGTGACAGGTTCCGATACAAAAGTGTAGGTGTGAAAGCACCCTAATGCTGCGTTCACACCAGATGCGGAACGCACGTCAAGCGCGAGTGATTTACATGTTAAGTCAATGCAAACGCGCGAATAGACATCCTGCGGCACGACGCACAAATGGCGTTCAGTTTTTGGCGTTCAGTTTCTGGAGGAGTTTATGAGCTCACAGAGCTGGATGCACCTCTGAAAGCATGTAGTGGACTCAGACACGGCCCTAAACGTATCGACGCTGTTTTTCATCCTTCATAAAGCACATAAACACTGTTATTTTCTTTATAAAATTCATGTTAGCCATTTAGCTATGAAGCTAGAGTCACGGGGCAGACAGAAGCCCTGCCCATCACACGAACCCGCGTCTGTTCTGAAGTGAATTTGACACACGAATGAAGCGGGGTTTGACGCGCGAATATAGCGAGTAACCTCAAATGTTCACGCGGCTATTTAAGCGTGAACATCACGATTTATTCGCGCGTTCCGAGTCTGGTGTGAACACAGCATTAGTCTCTTCCTTTATTTCGCTTTACTGTGCTCAAGTTGCTTCGTTTACTCAAATGGAGTAAGTTCGCAGTACTCATTAGGATTAGTTTTGAACTTTAATGATTGTTGCAATCGGTGGCCTAACATGGTTTAAGTTCAAAAACTAATCCTAATGAGTACTGTGAACCTAATCTATTTAGTAAATGAAGCAACTTGAGCACAGTAAAAGCCAATAAATGAAGAGAACTCAAACCAACTGAGTACAGCAAACCCAATGAGTTAAGGCAACTCAAACTGCTTGTGGAAACTGATTGCTGCAAACCATTGGAGTTACCTTAGCTTGAGTTTTACAGTGTAGAAAGATAGTGATGTTAACTGCTAGGAGCACTTCTGTAACGTCCGCATCTGATTATTGGAGTTTATGTTTCAGTTTTGTATTTTTGCATTAGTTTTGTGTTTTTTATTTACATTTTTGCATTTTCTGAACACCAAATCTGAACAGTTGTGTCCTAAAGTGGCCACCGTTCACTTCCTCCCTCATTTCATGCTCTTGATTTTAGGGTGAAATTAAACGTTCCTCACACCTACACAATAACGTATGATTGATCATCACAACCGTCTGATTGACTTCAATAAAAACAAACACAGACTGAGCCGACTGTGTGTGTGTGTGTACGTGTTTTTGTGACATATCAGGACACAAATCTGTATAATGACATGGGTATGACACAGGTATTACAAAAAGGAGGTGAAATATGAGGACATTGGTGATTTCTCAAAATGTTTATAAATCCCACAGGATGAGTTTAATCAGAGAGTAAAGCTGCACACTGACTCCTGTGATGGTTGGGTCTAGGGGTGGGGTGAGGGCAATATAATATACGGTTTGGGCTGTATAAAATGAATGGAAGTCTATGTAATGTACCCACTTTTCACAAAAACAAACATATGTGTGTGTGTGTGTGTGTGTGTGTGTGTGATAGTGTGTGTGTGTGTGCTCACCAGTGCTTAATTTGTAAATTACGAGGTCCCGGAACAGATCAGTGTGATGGATCCGGCATGTTACCAGAGGAGGGAGAGGTATCGCAGACCAAAGTGAAGAGGGTTGGGGAGTCATGGAAGAAAGTGAAGAGTGGGGCGGGACGGGGGTGCATGTGAAGAGGGGGATCGGTAAAATGAGGTGCCGGATCCGGCATGTTCCAGCTCAAATTAAGCCCTGGTGCTCACACACACTCATTAACACAAGCGCCTGCTGCACTACAGAGAGAGAAACTCTTTATT